TATTTATTCTCTAGATCAATCTAAATTGATCAAAATAAAATATCATTAAAACTGCGAAACATGTAAGCATATCCACATCGCTACATCAAATATTAGCATATTTATATATATATAATGATTCTATCTCTGATAAATTAATGCCAAATGTGGGCGCTATATATATATATATATTCGGTATCTCGATTTCAATTTATTAGAGATTAGAAAGAGAGATAACAAATAAAACCTCTAACTTTTATTTGCGTTTTATGTTTTTCAATATAAATTCCATAAATTTTGCTGTCCAATTATTTTAGAGTTCAGGATCAAGTAATTCAATTTTAATCGGTTTAAACATTTGATAGAAGAAAATAATCTGAAATTCTCTTAATATTTTATCCTAATGGCGCTCTAATAGCCGATTGAATAAAACCCTGAACACTGGTAGTTGGTCATGGATTCGCGCCTCACCACATGGGCTGGCCACAAGAAGTTTCTGTCTTGTCTTTACTTGTCTAACACCTAACTAGGGGCTAGTTTCCCGTAAAAGTCCTATCGACAGGCGTTTTCTTTGGAAAATCGCCTAAGTGTTGCGTTACCTTATTAATTAAACCATCAATGATCAATCCAATCATATTTTATCTCAATGCTTTTAAATGCAATTATTGTTTATTTATTTCAAGTATTACTTTTAAATGCTTATTCAAATTTTGTTAAAATAAGTGAATATTAATCGGTCTTAAGCAAAAAGTAATACAATTTCAATGAAAATTTCCACTTAGTACCAAAGACGTGCAGTATGAAATTACCATATTACAATTAGAATAACTGGATTTTTTCGTATAATCGGTCGCCCTTATTATATAAGTCTAAAAATAATCTTCTATTGCGAATTCGCGAATTCTTGCTAATTATCAAATTTTAGAATTGACTCCTTTCTATGATTTTTCCTTCAATAAAAAGTAGCCTATAAAAAGAAGATAAAATGAACAACGAAAATGGAGCTAGTCAAATATTAAATGAATGAATTTTGGAAGTAAGATAACATAAGAATTATGGAGTCTTAGACAAATAGTGAAGCTTCTCTATGGTTCCTTGCCAGTGGTTCATAGAAATCACGATCCCCGACAAGTGTCTTCCCTGTGAGAAGCAATATTTGTAAGATCTAGCGTAAAGATATTGCTAAATTTAAAGAATCTGAATCGAATTCGATCCGGATAATACAGACAGATAAAAAAATATTAAATAGGACAGTTTTGCAGTGAATAAAACAGGTAAAATTTAATTAAGAACTGTATAAACTAGAGTTTTTATAGAATCTTATTTATCCTAGTTATCAAACGAAATAAATAAAGTAAAACTATTTAATAAAAAATACTAATATACAGAACAATAGTAAACGTATAGAACATATATATATACTACTATATTACAATTCTATTATCAACGAGGTCTTGCTTAAGGTTTTGGGGTTCAACCCATGGAGCTGTTTATTAATTACGTGTATAGTTTAAGAGAGGGAATGGGTCCCAAAAAATACATCATTGTACATGACGGGGAGGCAAGAGATCGAGGCATTGTCTGCGTTGACATTTTTAGTGGTGTTAGTGGTGTTCAGTTGTTCTTATAAGCCTATTTACTAGTGATGTGAATAAACTATCAGTTATAAAAGTTCTACAAATATTTTCTAAGTTATTTATTCAATGTCAGGGGGTCCATGAACTATTGTACACATAATTTAAAGGGGATATTTTCCGTAAGTACCCCATAGGAAGGGGAGAAGGTCAAAAGTGACTCAAAACTATACGTAATTAATTCTCTTCGTATTTGGAAAAATTAAAAAATTTAAGTAAAATTAAACAGTACTGTATATTGTTGGCTATATAACTTAGGCTATTTATGTTTTGTACAGTTTCTTCTCAGTCTACTGTATTGTGTTATCTATATACATGTATATAGGCTATATGTATTGTAAAAACTAAAACTACGTTATGAAAAAATGTTTTTTAAAATTGATTGTAGATATTAGTTTTATGTTCTGTACATAAATTCATAAAATTACAATAAATACATAATTTTTTCAAGCTTAGTTCTGTGTCAATCATTATATGATAAATTTACACATATTAATTAATAATACATTAAATAATGATCTAAACTTTAATTACATTAATTAAGCTCATAAAATCTGCACGCCACACTAAGTGTTATACAATATATATGTGGGGTTTAGGCGAGTAACATTCCTAAGCCGTTAAGACAATTAAATTTACGAGGGGTTGTGGGGAGGCGAGGAGAACGAGGGAGAGTCAAGTGAGGGGAGAAGCGAGAAAAAGGGAGTGTCAAGTAAGGGACAGTAGTAAACAAGACGACGGTGGGTGACGACGCAAAAGGTGGAAAGTGAAAAGGAAACAAAGGACGTTACGAAGGCGAAAGCATTATTATTCCGTCAAGACGGTTACGACGGTTACGAACTCTGGAAGTTTATTGTCATTTCTATAATTCTCAATCTCAATAACTATTCCTACATATATATATCCTATGTAGGTCTAGTTAATTCTAATAATTTAGATAAACTCTGATAAATATAGATTAATTGGTGATTTAAATACCGGTAACAACTATGTTAACAACTTATATTTCTAAATACGGAAATAATAAAAATAATTTCTCCGGAAACACAATTCATAAAGTAAAATTCTATGTTTATAACTTGCAATTCTATATTTTATAGTGAAAGAACGATATGTCATAATCCACTAGAAACAGCTGCACGTCACTCGTGAAACTTTCAAATTAGCCTATAACTAAATAGATATAACAAGTAAGATTTATAACTGTGGTCTGAAATTTAGAATATCGTGAATATAATTATCATACAATGATTTTTTGCTTAAGATATCAAGCATTTCAGAGAATTGTATTATCCAAATGATATCTGTTGATTGATGATAGCTGAAGTATTAACTCGTATAATGTATTGGTCTATTATGAGAATAATGTTCATTTTCGTATGGAAAAACCGCATTTCTATAAAATTTTAATTATTCCATTGGATTAAAAATTGATCCTAATGTTACTTTGTTGTCGCCTATATATGAGTCTATATATAGAGAGATGCCTTATGTATAACCGGAAAAATTAATTGGGTATAAAATTTATGGATTATATATAAGATATAGATTTTATAGACATATAAACAAATAAATGTCTATACGTCTATACCCACACAACACGCCTATACCAAGCTATTAATATATACACCTACACAGTTATATATAGTGCATTTAAAACACTGATAAATATATATATGGTATACAGTATATACCTGACATTTTTATCTATACATATATAAGCAGAAGCATACGGACATTATATACACGCATGTATATCAAATATATACGTATACATTTATATTTAAATGTATAGAAGGTTTTTGTGCAGGTGTATATAGTTAAGCAAGTATAGGTAAGTGCAGGTGTGTGTATAGGAATGTGTGTGTGTGTTATATATATGAATAATAAATAACATAGACATTCTATATTATTCTAAAAATAAATGAACTTATTCACTTCACACTGACAATAATCTCATGACAAGTCCAATCAATATTATTACAATATAACAACTTTTTATAAAATGTTATTACAGTATTTAAATTAAACAATTTCACATAAAAATATAATAAGCATAAATGTTTTAAAATAATGTTTGGATACTTTAAAATAAAATTCATTATTATTGTTATTATAAATGAACTAAATTTTAGTTTAGTCATTAATTTATATTATTTTAACTTAAAAAACACTTTAGAGTAAAGGAAAAACTAAATATCAATAGAAACTTAATGCTGTGGAAAAGTGTTTTAAATTGAACTGCTCATTCTCTATTATTTTAACGTAAAACCAGGGAAGAAGAAGAAGAAGAAGAAGAAGAAAGAAGAATCAATAATTTTAAGTACAAACTTTCATCTAAAGTCATTTGCAAAGACAGTATTAATATATGTAGCTATTTCAACTAATGGAAGTATGATAAGAAAGAATAAATTGCTTTCAGTCTCAGTAGACTAAATTTTATATTAAGAGAACCTATCAAAAGTATTTAGAATGCAAAAGTAGTAAAATATTTCTGATGTGGCTATTTTAATATGGGATCAGTCTACTGAGACTGAAGGCAATTTATTCCTTATTATTATAAATCGATCATTTAGTGTAGATAACTACAATTTCTACTTATTTTTAAGCTAAGTGATTTGAGAAGAAATAAAATTTATTCAGTTATTAATATTATTTTTTAATTTAAACAGATTTTATATCATTTAAATTTAATTGGTAAAGATATGAAATTTGAAATTTTCATTAAAAGTTTTTATGAATATTCTATTCACAAAATTGTAATTTAAGTAAGTAAATAAATCTTATTTAGTCTTACTTAAATCTTAGGTAAATGGCTGTAGTATAGTATATATTTTAATAATAAAAATTAAAAATTATTCCATATATTTAAAAATTAATTACGGTTATTTTTTTAAATTTATCGTATTTAATTTTTTTATTATTTTCTTTCCATAAATGGAATATTTGTAATTAATTTCATCGTCCCTTTTGAAACGTTCTTTACAAGTATTGAAAATTTCAGAGTACTTTACAATTACTATGCAAAAATGAAAAGTTCTTTGCAATTCTTAGGTAAATATTGTGAAGTTTTTACAACGATATTACAAAGAATGCAAAGTTGTTTGCAATTAGTTTGCAAAAACTCTCAATTATTATTCAAAAATTAAGAATTTCCTTCAATTATTACGTAAATATTTCAACTTTATAGTTATTTACAATATTAAATTAATGTTGTAAAATGAATGATTAGAGTACTCAAAACAGAGATTAATATGTTAACTTTTCAATATTATTAAATGAACTCATAATAACATCATAGCGAAGAAGATTTCGCATTGAAGAATAGAAATCAATAACTTACAACTGTATTAATATTCTGTAGTGTAAGTCATGATACATGTGAATTTATATATTATTTTAAGGAGTCGTGATAGCACATATCTTGAGAACTCTTACATTAATGCAATATCCGATAATGCTGCAAGCTTTGTGATATCATAAGTTCTTTATATCAGTGTTTGTAATTATGATAAAACCGAAATTTTGTCAGATCCAAGTCAGATAACTGAAAAAATTCTATCTCGAAGAAGACAGAATTCTAGGCCTGTGTGAACAAAATAGCTGCAATGTACGTAAAAACATCTTATGTATATTATCAAAAGGTTAATTAGTTTTATATTTTTTTAGTTTTTAAATTTTATTTATCATCAGGTGTAGATAGAGAGAGATCCATTAGATCAATTGTATCTCTACCCGAATTAACTCTAAATTCTAAAGGTGTACAGGCACAGAGGGGTTTTCAGCGTAAGTGATTCGGGTCTTATCTCACCCTCTCTCAAGTCCTGTTTATTATAAGATAAATTTATATCCAATTGAATTTATTACTTATAATTAAAGCGGAAAATAATAATAAAAAATTCAGTAATTATTTCTTAAGAAGTAATCAATAAAGTAAAAAAAGTAATTATATAATTTTTGAAACCGAATCCATTTGAAAATATAATTATTCACTTCGTTTAGTTTTAGTTTAGTAACAATTATATTATGAAATTCTTGCGATACCGAGAAACAATTTAAAAAATATATTTAATTATACAATTCTACATGAATAAATTTAATTTTTAATTCAATATCGTCGTACAAAATTTTAATTATATCATTATTTGATAATATCCCAGTTGGAATTTCGAAAAATCCCGTTTTTTATATATATTAATGACATTATATCAATAAGAATAAATAAAAGAAAAATGCATAAAAATTTATTGTAAATCTTAACAAAGATGGAGACGATCTAAAGATTTGTAAGAAATTTCTCAATTGAATTTTTTAATTAAGAACGTAAAAAATTTCTTTAATGTTAATAATTCTTATCTTTATGTAAATTTTGTTTATTCCAGACCCGTGAACAGAATTTCTTAATATTTACAATATAGGTTTATAGAGTATCACAATATTGTAAACTAAAGAGGAACTGAATGGATACAAAATGAATATTAGTTATGTACCTCCCAAATGGGGGAGTTAAACCCAAACCTCATCTGCATGGCTTTGATTTATTCTTGATTTAGTTTCATGGGATACGGCAATGCAATACCTGAGCGATCTGCAAAGGGATGCTTCCCAGAAGGACTTTCTATGGCAAAACGACTCCTGTTTAAGTGTTATATACGCGAAGAAAATCCAAAAAACTCAGTCGTTGATCAGGTGCGAACCTGGTACCGATATCAACAACCAGTGTTCAGTAGTTTAGTTTATTCTTAACATTGGTAGATAGAGGCCAACAAGGTCATTCGACTTGAACTCCAGAACAGAATTGTCTCAAAATTTAATATTTTATATTAAAACATTATAAAAATAGGATATAAATTAAGATTTCTTTTGGTAAGAGGTAAAAACTCTAGTTTTATTTATTTATTATTAATTTAATTTGTATATTTCTACGGTTTTCTACCGGAGAAAGGCGGTTCTCATATTTGTAAGTGACCTGACCCTCAGTGCGTAATGGTAAGAACTAAAAATATAGAGTGGCTCGAAAGTTAGTTAACTATTGTAAATATTCAATTGCTTTTCTTGTTAAATGCTTTATTTCTAGAACCAGGACATGTAGGCACTAAATATCATATAAACAGTTATAAAGATCATATATGTTATGACTTATAAGATATGATTTTTTACATTTATAACTGTTTATATGAGTTTTAGTGCCGAGACGTCAACTTTACTTATTACTTACAAACTTTTGTGACGTTCAAACTATTTAAAGAAAGGGCCCAGCAGTGGCAGAATGAATAAAACCATTGAACATTGGTTGTTGGTACCGAGTTTGTGCCTGACCAACGAGCTGGTTTCATGGAGTTATCAGGGAGGTACATAAAAGGAGACCAGTTTCCATAGAAAAATCCTTCCGGGAGGGACTCTTTTGGTAGATTGTCCTTGTATTGCGTTTTGGTATCTCATAAAATCAAACGAAATCCTTCTTACTCAATCAATGCCACTGTTAGGGTGTCTTGCAAGTTTTTTTTTGTGCCTCTTGCGAATTAGTGCAAATATGCCGTGATTTCCTATTTTTTTGATCGCCATCTAAACTATTTTAAATTAAATTTGGATGGTATGAACATCTCGCAACGTCATTATATACTAATCAATACAAGCTTATTCTTTTCCGGACGAAAAACTAGTAGCCTATACGCTTCGCACACGCTTGATCGTGCAATACTGTAAATGCATATAAATATATAATGCCAGCGTTAATATTAGGACCGTTAGAGCTTGCAATTTTACTCTTTCAACGTAATGTTTTGTTCCATTTTTTGTCATTTCATAATTCAAATCAGACACTTAATTAGGAATGTCTTTGGCTGTCCTGTGACGACGTGCGCTGCAAACCCTGCACGACTGCTTGCGGCGGCCCTACATTCAATTATAATGCTTTAACAAATTCAGTTTACGATTAATATTCAAAATCAGAACACAAAACAAAACACGATTAATTGACTTTCGGGCCATCCCTGTATACGCCTTATTTAACGTATATTTTAATGTAACTAAAACACAATGACTTGTCATTATTCCTATAGAAGACAAAATTTCGCCATCGGAAATAACTTAATGCTTACAAAATTTTTATCTTATCAATTTTTAAATATATTACTTAATATAAGTTAAATTGATATTAAAGTTTTTGAATTATACTTTATTTTATAAATTATTAATCATAAAATTATGAAAGTTCATCCGTAAATTGATACCTGATTAATTTTATTAATAATAAAATCCATAACTTTAAATAAGAAAAGAATTTTTTTGAAAATATATTTAAGAGGAAATTACCATACTAAAAAATTAAATTATCAATTTTTAAGATAAAATTTACATTTTCGAAAAATTTTCTGGACATTTTCCAATGCGTTTTAAAGGAGATAAAAATATGAAATTGTCATTTTAAAATCTTTTCATTAAAATAATTGGAATGCCAGAATTTTCTAAATAAAATCTCAAAGTTTCTTACTTCTGATTTTTATGTTCTGTATTTGCATTTTTAAAATATATTTATTGAAATAAATTAACAAAAATTATTACATTACTTAAAATACAGTTTCTGATCCCAAACTACTGATTGAGAACACAATACTTTTAATGTATTTCTGATAATTAATTAATGGTTATTTTTAAAATTAAATAATTAATAAAAAGCTAATAAATAAAAGAAATTAGGTATTGTAGGAATTTTATTAGTTGTTTAAAACTACTTTAAAAATAAAAATAATTTAGTATAATTAATACAAAAACACAAAATACGCTGGAACTTCCTACATATCCAATTATTATTACGTAATTTGTAAATATAATACAATTTTCAATTTACAGTATGTGTAATTGTAAAATTATATAAATTTAAATCAATCATTGAATAAAATTCGAAAATTTCACGTTTTAAACATACGCATTTCTTCGTAAATAAACTCATGTGCCTATTTAAACCTGTTGATTGATACATGAACTGGTCAATCCATCAATTACGTAACGGTTTTTTTATACTTTTCAACTACCATTCCTCCCCTTGTAACGCTCCGTAACTGTCTTACATAACAAACCCGAAAATTATATAACGCATTGATGCACTAAGGATTTGTACTAAAGAATAATACGCAGCATGGCGATACTAAACGTTACATTATTTATTAAATGTATAAGGTATAAAACAGTGACATAAACTGTACGGTTTGCTATGCAACATTTCAGAAACACAAATGAATTATTCTGTTACCTGAAGGTCGAGACCATAGCATTACGTAATGTTTTTGTACACTCTTGTAATGCATCGTAATGATTATCTTCATATTCACCCACCCATATGTAATTTATGGACAATATTTTTAAATTAATTTATACATCAGTTTCACTCACTCGTCAGTTCTACCATACTACATAATTTTTTCATAAGTACAAAAATTGATTTCAAACAGTTTAAGTATCAGTTTTAAACAGTTTCAGCAATTCGATATAATTAAAAAAAAAAAAAATGGGAATTAAAGTTAGGTTTCCAAAACTATTAAATTTACTAACCATTAAAATTTTAAGTTTTAAACTACTAAAACTATTAAGTTAAGCTTGTAAAACTATCAATGTTACTAAATTAATTACTAAATCTATTATATTTTAGTGACAATAAAAATTAATTTCAGCAAATAATATTTTACTATAAGTTATGTCTAATATGCACTTTAAAATTCAAAATAAACAGTAAAAATATACTGTTCATTCTGTCTATTAGTTCTGTATATTTTTTATGGTTTAACAATACCTCTGTATTAGATACGAAACAATAAATTACTTCTTTATGTTTACTCTTCATTATTTATATAGCAATGCTTCATATTATTCTTAGTTAATGACACTCTTTTAATTTATTCAGATCATAACACTACTTAAAATATAAACTACAATTTATGGAAGTCGTGATCTATCGGTTGAAGAGCAAAATCAACAATCCTTTAATTTATAATACTGTGATACTAAGGAATATGAACTGCAATTCATATAGATCGCAACCTACCGGTTGAGGAATACTATCCACAAATGGTTATCCCATAGGAATAACAAGTAAATGTTTATTTTACGAATAAAAAATAGAAATTTTGTTACAAGTATTTTCTTTATTACCTAACATAATACAAAATTTAGTAAAAGTTATTTAATTTTGTATTATTTAATGATAGACTTTTACTATCGATAATTATAATAAACGTTTCGTTTATTGTAGCCATGTTTTCTCTGTCATTAAATTAAGAACCAATTACATTATTCTGTAATCTCTATAACTAAAGTAAGAATCAATAACAATCAAGGAAATGTTGTTAAAGTATCGAACATTGTTTTTTTATGTTGTTTGTGTTTCGTATATGTTTCTCTAACCAAACAGATTGTTCTGGTTTTATCTTAATGAATGATATATCTTCTTTGTATCTTGTAAACAGGATCTGAAAGAGGTGAGAAGAGAGAGAACGTCTCCTCTCTAAGGTCTCTTCACAATACAACACAACACAACATATACATAAACAGAGTAACAAGTGCATGCCTTAACTCATTCCGAAAGCTCTAAAAAATGTATGAATAAAAATCAATAACATAAAAACTGACTTATCACAACTTATTAAAAGATATTTTAATTCATATCAATTTTGTATCATAAAAGACTAATTCTGAAATCCTTCTGTCGCTGGTGCCAAAACCATTCGTCCTGCTGGCTTGGCTTTTCTTCTATGGTTCTCTAAGCAGCTTTTCAGACGTCAAGAGAAACCCGAACCACTTACTTTATTGAAACTCTCAGTATATTAAAAAAGCAAAGTAGCGTTTAAAAGTTGTATTATCTTTTTTATATCAATAAAATAAAATTTATCAAAAAGTAAAAAAATAAATCTTTTCTTTTTTAATATAGAAGAAATGCAGTTGAATGAGTAATTTGTAACAAATGTTTTTAAGAACTCATAAATGTGAAGTACAGCTAAAAGGCCCTGCTGGTATCCCATTTAAAAGGGCCGTCCCTTCTATCTCATGTAAGTCTACGCTATAAATTTCTAATAATAAATCTTATAATCATATATTTTAGAGAGAAATATATAAATCTAAAGTTATTTAAATAATTTTCCATTTAAAAATATTAAGTTTTTAAATGATTAATAAACACTAATTTACAAAAATATACGTTTTTCAAGTAGAAATTTCTATTGTAAAAATCCTAAATTTATTAATAAAAGAGAAAAACAAAATATAATTTTTATTTTAATAAACATTTATATTT